CATTTTTTCCCTAGGTCGATATGCAATTAGCCCAGAACCATTTAGTAAAGGGCCTTCTCTCTGCTTCAGTATCTTGTTCACAATCAGGTAAATATATATTAAAATACATATTTGTAGATTTCTGGACTTTTTCCTACAAGTCAACTTGTCTTTTGCTGTACTATTGATAGGATATGTTGAAAAAAAAAAAAAAAAAAATACATTTTGTTGTAATGTATTATCTTTTTATATACAGCTAGATTCTATTTCTTAATAATTTAAGATTTTTTTTTTTTTTTTACCACCTATTTTGGAAAGAGATTGATCTGTGATTCCCCTTTCCATAATGTGCTTGTCAGATTTTGAAATCAAGGTTATGCAGGCCTTACAAAGAGGTAGGTAGAGGGATTGAGAGTTATGTAACTAAGAAGGGAGAGATGGATCTGGACTCGGGGTGACTCTAACAGAAACAAAGAGAGTAGTGAGATAGCATCCCTTCTGTCACAGCAGAAGCCACAAACAAGCACATCTAAGCCATCCTTCTTTTTTTTTTTTGAGACCGAGTCTCACTCTGTCACCCAGGCTAAGATGCAGTGGTGCGATCTTGCCATCTCGGCTCACTGCAGCCTCTGCCTCCTGAGTTCAAGCGATGCTTGTGCCTCATGAGTAGATGGGACTACAGGCATATGCCACCGTGGCTGGATAATTTTTATATTTTTAGTAGAGATGAGTTTTTACCATGTTTGCCAGGCTGGTCTCGAACTCCTCACCTCAAGTGATCCACCCACTTCAGCCTCCCAAAGCCCTGGGATTACAGGCATGAGCCACCATGCCTGGACTAGCTATCCTTCTGCGCTTGGCATAGTACACCCTCATACACCACCCCCCACCAGCCTCAGTCTTCTTTTCCTCCATCTGCTCCCACAGCCACCAAACTATACCTACAACCTCCATCATGAGGCCACCTTCCCTCAGCTTGATCAGGAGTTTGCAGGTGTTATTACTTCTGGTCCACACAGAACACCCTCCACCTTGCCAACCCATCGGCCTCTCCTCTTTAAAACAAAACACTGAGCCCCTCCCTCCAAAATTCCTTGATTCCATTGACTCTCCCAGGTAGAGTTGGAGACGTTCTGGAGCCAGATTGCCTGGGTCTGGTCTTCAGCTTCAGCACTTTTGAGCCCTGTGACCTTGGACCCCACTTTACTCATCCCTACGTGGGGGAGCAACAGTACCTATCTCCTAGGAGGAATGCATTTAATATGTAAAAGCACTTTGTCTTTTTGATCCATCTCTTTTTCCAATGGCTGTCTCACAGATATTT